GAGAAATCTTCTGCGAAGAATATTCTTGTCACTTACAATCTTTAGCCACGGCCTGATCAGAACCAACCCTTCATATAAGAGAAGACTACTCACCAAGTCATTATCAGAATTTCGCTTCTGTAAAGAGAAGAAAAAAAAAAAAAGGAAAAAAAAGTCATGAGTAAAGTAGGAAAGCCTCATTTAGGCATCTTCTTGGGAATGTTTTTTCAGGTCTTTTAGTACGTATTTTGTCTTTTCCAACTCATTTTCCTTTGGGAGATAAATAGGTTTTATATCAAAGCATACAAAATGGTTTGCATACTCAGTCACAAACACTCTCCAATCATCAGGCAGACTGATCTTGATGCTTTTAACCCGTTCCACCCCACCAGCCTCTCACTCTAACAGTGGAACATCAGATGGCAAATCAGCAGGCTCACAGAGAGGGAGCATACTCTGAAAGGCTGCATGGAGGGGAAAAAGAAAGTTGCTCTTTCTCAGAATGACTGCAAATATCAGCAGCTCTACAGAAATACCACGTGCTCTCATGACCTGAAAGAGATAACAGGATTGAAACATACTTGGGAACTCATGTTACGATAGTGTCTTGTGTAACTGCGTTCCCGTAATGTTGGTTGCAAGTCCTTATCTCATCTGGCTCCAAGGGCCTCATGGGTCACATTTTGTACAAGTTTTCTTTTCGTGTTTGCACACTCCACTGAACAGAGCAGTAAGGACGCAGAGAGATCAGATCAGAGATGTATGTTGGGCACATTCATGGGTTTTGTTACTTTTCACATTTAGGACTTCTACAGGTTGAAAATAGAGACACACAAGACTGGGATTTTTTTCTTTCTTTTTTCTTCTTTTTTTTTCCCCAGGACTTTATATATAAAGTCAGTGGTAATGCAGGGATTTGGAGAAAGCTTCTCTAGTTCTGTAAGAGTCTGGCAATCCGTATTTCAAACTGCTATTGCCACACAGGTGATTTCTGCATGCATGTCTCCCCTGCTTCACAAACTGACGTGGGCTTTTTTAATGCCTGTGTTGTGCACCCACCACTTCAAATCACTCCTTTACAAAATCTATCTTTTCTGTATCCATACTCTCATTACAGTCAATCATTTCATCTTCTTAAAACAAACAAACAAACAAAAACCAACCACAAACCAAAGTATAGACCTTAGAAACAAAAAAAGTATCTGAAAAGTCTGCTTGTTCGGCACCCTTTTCTTAAAAATGTGTTACATTTTAGCTACAAATCCTGCAATTCTGACTACTACTACCTAAACTAATACTTCACACGCATTTCATTTTTCCTGAACTGCTGATCTGAACGTTCTTTAGCAAAATTACGGGTTCCACAGTAGTTCTGAATGAGTTCTGCTCTGATTCTGTCAATATTTTTAGTGCTACGCTGTCATTCTCGCTGAAACAGCAAGTAGAGGAAAATCTTCCAGTGAAAGGTATCGTGGCTTGGGCGAATCTTGGGCAGAGATACTCAGACCCCATCATCGTGGGCTGCCTGCTTGAACAGAGCCTGATCTGACACGGGGCCAGATTTGCTGGTTCTGCTATTTTGTGATATTTCTCATTCTTAGTGATTCACTTAGATGGAAAGCTGGAGACCTCGTCATTTTGAGCTCAGCAGGCAGAAAACAGTAACATCCCATTAAAAACAGTGTTACGCAATTCTGAAAGAAATGAGATTTCCCTGACTTGTGCAATTACAGTCAGAAGTCACATTTACAATGTTTCCAAGTGTTTCCACAGTTTTGCCAGTAGCGCCAACTATTGGAAAGGTTTTCTTTTAGTTAATAACAGTGATATTCATTCTTCTTCTGTAGAATGCTCCACTGTGGCAACAGCAAAAAATACAGATGCAAAATATCTACTAAAACCCAAAAGTAGAGGAAAAAAGAAATTTGAACTCCCAAGAATAAAGGGTGGGGAAAGAGGGCTTCCATTTCAGTACTTACTGAAAGAAACCGTGATTTTATAGCTTGGGAAACTGAAATACAGCATGACTAAGAGATTCAGCAAAGACTGTACAGTTAATTTGAAGTGACCTATGGCTGCACAACATATTTATGTAAACCTCTATGTACTGCATAGGAAAAATAAGGCATAAAAAATTATTTTCAAATCAACAACAACATTAAAGATTTCATCACTGCAAGTGATGCTAATTGGAAATCACAGAGAAGAGAGAATGGCTCAACTAAGTTATGCTAAACTGAAACTTGCTTATGACCTACACAGGAGTCTTGCTGCTGCCAGAAGGAGAGGGTAGAGAAGGAAAGCTGCATCACTGCTACCCGTGCACTGAATGCTTTGAATAGTTTTATTTAAAAAATAAAAATAAAAAAATCCGCCCTTAATAGTTATGTGTATACAAAAAGAAGTACAAATGTACTCAGGCATCTTAGATTTGGGGTTGGTTTTGTTGTTTTTTTTGGTTGTTTGATTGTTCCTCAGTTTTCAGCAGACTTGGCTCTGCCAGTTGAGTTTATCTGACTGTAGCCTTAAAGGTAGCTTTGACAACTTGAAGGTACCAGATAGACTTGCAGACATCTTTCACCACCCGTCAGTGGTGAACTAACTGCTCAAAAGAGCTAGTACAGAGATTTGGACTGACTCCATCACAACACACAACAATCGTTTCCATTTCAATAAAATGACATTTGCAAAAAATATATAGCATAAACTGGCAGAATCAAATATCTTTTCTGTGAAGTGCTGTGCACGTACAGATGGAACATAGCACTGAGCCTTGGTCATCTATTTAGGGAGGCTTTAGCACTGTAAGGCATTAAGAGAATTACGGTTGGTATAGAAATTGAGAGGGAAAAAAATACATTATATCTGGGATAAGTATGAGCTAAATAAGAATCTTTGGCATTTCTAATTTACAGTTGTAAATCTCAAGGTGATTTCAAAAAGTTAGACATGTTATTATCCTGAAGAGATCTGCCCTCTGTAATCTTCATAGGATTTAACCGCTGAGGGAGAGGAAAGCCATTTACTGAGTAGTGGTCTGCAACTTAAATGAAGATAATTACTCAGAATATCAGGAAGCACTGCCTTATTCAGAGATCTGCCAAAAGCAGAATGTGGGGCACAGATATATTCCATGTTATGCTAACACAAATCTCTTGAGAAAAATCCTACTAAGTCACTTGGGCCACGGAAATGTTTATCAGGACGCCACGTTACATTCCTGTTACATTACTTCTTTTTGGAGCCATCTTTCACTGTCACTGCCATTCAGGTGCTATAATGAGTTAAATGGCAGCAATGAATCTTTTACACATCTGAATGTAAAAGCTCTAGAACGCTTTACTATTATACAGCAATGACAGGGAAAACAGAGGAAAGTGATGTTTTGAAAAAGAGAGATAGGAAGAGAGATAGGAGAGCTTCTTCATAGCTGATTCAAAACTGAGGCTGATTAAAGTTCCAGACCCAAATCTGAGCTGGTTTTCCTCGATAACAGAGAACAGAAATCTCCTGGTGGCAGCACTGTACGAGCTCCCTGGAAAATGATGATAAATGGCAGGAAGTTAATCTACGAAGAATGGGAGCAGCACACACGGTTGACTACTTACCTTAACGTTTCTGACATGTGTTACCAAAAAGTCTGATGATGCAAAGGCAGGAATCAATAATAAAATGTAAAGCAATAGGTGACTTTCCATTTTGGAAAAAAAGTAAGATTCTCATCTGAACGACACAAATAAATACACAGTGCTTTGTTTACAGAGTGTTAATAGATAACCTCATGTGAAAAGTGGGATTAAGCGCACAGAAAAAATTAAACACTGAATTTTGATTTGTGTGATCTACAGAATATTGCTACAAAATATTTATGTCGAGCTGGGAGAATATTTCAGCCATGGATCTTCTATGTAATATCACCTGTAAACAGAACTCCAACAGCAATTTCTGTATTCCTTCTGATATCTTCTGAAAAGCTGTCATGCCTCAGCTTCACCACAGCTGTTCCAAAGCTCGCAGTCTTCTAAACTCATTTATACTCATTCATACTCCTATAAACTGCCTTTTATAACCCTGCATGCCACTCGGCTCTCGACTGAGGCGCCAGTATCTGACGCATATCTTGGCTATCCCAGAAACTTCATGTTTTCCTGGTCATTTGGATGGCTGGAATTCAGGTCCTCGCTCGCAGATCTTGCACAATTCATATCCGTTCAGCCTGCAGGTGCCAGGCCCGTTTACTTTATTTGTTATCTCCACAGCGCTGATTCCTCATCTTTTAACTGGTTCCATCTCCTCCATTGCACGAAAACCCCAAGTTTGGTGTCTGTGAGGTAAACCCTCAGTAATAAAACACTGGAGATACACAGTGAGCTATGCCAAATGTCATTTTTCATTTATTTCGTATTGCCAAATGCAAAACATAAAATTAAAATGAAAATTTTACATTAAAATGAGACACGTGAACGGATCAGCAGCGGGAAGCAGAGAAGCCCCGTGCCGTTCTGTGCCGTGCCGTTCTGTGCTGCGGCACGGGACGGGCTGGGCACTGTTTTCTTCCCTATGTGCTCTGTGAGTTTTATTTCCCTTCCTTCTCCCCTGCTCTGAGACATTTTCAGTTTTCCCTGCAGCCAGCTTTCTGAGGCTCGGCAGGAACACGGCTCGAGAGGACAAGGAGCGCCTTGTAAACCAGGCTAGAGCTTTATTAAGCAGATCTTTGCTGTCTGAAGGTGACACGATGGCTTCGCTCAGCAGCTGCGAGCAGCCTGGTCGTCTACACACCACACAGGCAGCACCGCGGGGACCGTCGGCCGCTGTTTTTGAGGGGACGGCTTTGCTTCTCGTGATGGCGGCGGCACTCGGCCTCGCACTTCCCTCAGGCGCCCTGCCCGCTCCTAACATGGCCGCTTCGCCCGCTTCCAAGATGGCGGCGCAGAGCTCGCACCATAGAGACGCACGGCGGGCCGCTCTGCGCGTCTCACTCTCTGTGGCGGCGGGGAGCCGACGGCATCTCTATGGCAGCGGCCACCGCGCTGCCGGGCGGGCGGCCCCGGGTGGCGGCAGGCGCCGCCGGGCGTTGAGGGAGCCCGCCGTGGGGCCGGCGGCGAGAGAATGCCCCTAGCCGCCTACTGCTTCCTGCGAGCCGTGGGCAAGGGCAGCTACGGGGAGGTGAGCCTGGTGCGGCACCGGCAGGACAGCAAGCAGGTAGCGAGGGGCTGAGGGGAGCGGGTCGGCCGGGGCCTGGCTGCGGGGGCCCGGAGGCAAAGCGATGGCAGCACGAGCACCATGCGAGCCCGTTAACCGCGGTGCGCAGTCCTGTGTTCTGCTAACCTCGCCGTCCTAAAAGTAAACAGCACCGGGAGGGGACTTTCTGCTCTACGCAGGTCCCTGCATGTCACCGCTTTCTGTGCAGATCGTTAGCATTGGCCAGGATCTGGCTTCCTTATCGTTTCTGTTTTAACTTAAATATTTGATGTATTGGCCTGCGTCTTATCTCTTGCCAACTGTTATAAGCATTTTTTCACTAGCAGGATGAGCAAGATTTTTGGTTGTGGCTTTTGGAGCTTGATATGTGTCCTGCAAAAGAAACTGTATTTGAAGTATATTTGCTGCCAGAGTAATGTTTGGGGTTTTTTTGTTTTGTTTTGTTTTGTTTTGTTTTGTTTGTTTTTTGTTTTTTTAATGGGTGTCACGTGGCTCAAGTGTTTAAAATGAAAAAAGTCTAATTTGCACAACAGAAAGCAGAAGAGGATTACAATGGGCTTAATGGGAATCTTACCACAGTAGCATGTTCACTAAACCAAGTTTAAGCAATGTTGAGTTTCAAGTTAGGCTATGTGCCTCTATTTTGCATTCTGGTCATACTGACTAACACTGAAATAAAACTAAAAGCTATTGGTTTCCATGCCCAAATACCACTGAGGCAATAGAAGAGGGCAAGTCTGGAAATGCTTCAAAGGAAATATGAGTTATCCTCGAAGAAGACAACAAGGCTGGCTGCCCAGCTGAAGTCCCTCTGTACCAAAACAGCCAATTTGGGAAACAAACTGTAGGAGCTGGACGCCACCATGCTACTAGAAAGCTATGGTGTAGTCACTGAAACCTGGTGGGATGATTCCCACGACTGGAGTGTGGCTGTTGACAGCTAGAGCTGTTTAGAAGCTACAGGTGAGGAAAGAGGGAAGGAGGCATTGTCCTGTGCATCAATAGATGTACAGAGTGTGAAGATCTGTCCATGAAGAATGGCCATGAGCAAGCTGAAAGCCTATGGGTGAGTTAGAGAATGAGGCAGAAAAGGGAGCCTAGTGGTTGGGGCCTGATGGTACAGAGGTTATTGATGAAGCCTTCTTCCTCCAGCTACAAGAGACATTGTGTTCGCAGGCTCTCAACCTGCTGGAAAACTTAAGCCACCATGATATCTGCTGGAAAAGTAGCGTGGTCAGCTGTAGGCAATCCAGGAGGCTCCTGGAATGCACTGAGGACAACTTCCTGAGTCAAATAATAGATGGCCCCACCAGGGGGGATGCAAAACAGAACCTGTTGCCCACCCATGTGAGTGAATTTGATTGGAGGCGTCAGGATTGGAGGCTGCCTGGGCTGTAGTGACACAAGCTCTCCATCCCCAGGTGTAGGCCATCAAGAAAGGAAGGCAAGAGACCGGCAGGTGTCAGAACCAGGATCTGCTGGATAGACTAGAGAGCAAGAAGAAAATGCACAGGCAGTAGAAACATGGACCAGTACCATGGGAGTATAGGGATGCTGCTAGGCTGTGCAGGGATGTAGTGAAGAAGACAAAGTTCAACTGGAACTGGTTTTGGTAAGGAGAGCAAGAAAGGTGTGTACCTCAACTAGAAAAGGTTAGTCCAAGAAAGCATGCGTCCACTAGTGAGTAATACAGGCAGGCTGGACGAGGGTAAAGGTGAGGTACTCAGCAGCTTTTTTGCATCAGTCACTGGCAACTACTCATCACACAGCCCTTGAGGGAATGGGTTGGAAGGTGAGGATGTGGGAGTCCTCAGCGCGGGAGAAGTTATGAATCTGTTGTAGCGTGTCCAGAGGAGGGCCACAAAGATGATCCAAGGGATGGAACACCTCCCTACAAGGATGGGCTGAGAGCTGGGACTGTGCAGCATGGAGAAGAGCTGCGGAGAGAGCTGAGAATGGCTTGTCAGTATCTGAAGGGGCTCTAAGAAAGGACAGACTCTTTAGCAGGGTCTGTTGTGACAGAACAGGGAGAAATGGTTTCAAAGTGAAAGAGGAGAGCTTTAGATTGAATATAACGAAAACCTTTTTGCAGTAGGGGTAGTGAGGCACAGGCACAAATTGCCCATAGAGGTGGTGGTGCCCCATCCCTGGAGGCAGTCAAGACCAGGATGGACAGGTCAAGCTATAGATGTTCCTGTTCATTGCAGGGCAGTTGGATCAGATGGCCTGTAATGATCCCTTCCAACTAGAAGCGTTCTGTGATTGTAGTTGATTAGGCATATAGAACACTAGTTCTACTACTATAGCTAGAGTATTTGTATTTTATTTCAAATGCAGATGATGCTGCACACAGTTCTGTTGTGTTTCTCATGGGAGCCCTGTGCCACTGGTTATTAAAACTGAGGAGCTTTTCTAATATCCAGCAGAGTTTTGAAGACAAACCATGCTCAGAGTCATGAGGTACTCTTGCTTTCTGCATCATGGATTCCTGTGGTATATTAGGGGCAGTCTTCCTCAACGCTAATTAAACGTGCTGAATTAAATTAATAGGGCCAGCCTGGGAATTAGATAACCAAACAATTGCCAAGGACAGTGGAATTGAGTAAGGATTGTTGTAATGGTTTTGAATGAAAAACTCCCAGGTGAGAGTGGAGTCAGATGTGTGCCATGACATGGCTCTTCCATGGAAGGCTGCTTCCTTAGAAGGGATTGCCTCAAAATTTACATCAGTGAGGGACTGGCCCTAAATATTGCCGCTCTGTTTGTTGAGCGCATGCTCCATATGTGTTCCATGTTTTCTTCTCTCACTTGGCTTCAGTGATATTTTTCCTTAAATCTGAAATTCTTTAGGAAATGTTTGTTGTGGTATACATGAGGGAGAATAACAGCTTTCAAGTGTTAAAACAAAAATACATTTATACTAACAGTAAAACAGAATATGGGCCAGAGAGCTTTTGGCTTTCAGTATGACCAAGAGGCTGTGCTTCACTCTGATTCATTTCTTCTTGCACAGGCTTCAACCTGCATGTGCAGAACCTCATACCTGCAGCAGATACGTTTTAGGGCAAAGTTGAAGATGTTTCTGAAGGAGCTGTAAATGACATCTGCTTTCAGCTTGTGGGGAAAATACTTTGGGCAGCCCTCCAACTGCTGCTCTGCTTGCACCATTGCTTTCCCAGTGGAAGCCTGTTTTCTTCCATGGTTAACTGCTTTTTAGGCTTTTTGTACAGAACAGTCCTAAGTCCGTTCTGTCTCTGCTGCTGGGTGCTTGTTTTTTATTTGGTGCTTTTCTGTTAGGGCTGCTTGTTTTGCTTTTAAGAAAAGGATAAACAGACCTAAAAAGCTTAGCTGCGTTATTTTGTGCGTTCAGAAGTTCAGCTCTTTTAGATACTTCCTGTGGATATGAAAATGTGGAATCCAAGCTTTGAAATAGGGATTTTTTTTAATCAAATTCTTTTAAACTTCATTTTGAAAGCATGATCTATATTCAGGTGAATTTTATTCTAGATATTCATTGTTGTTTTTCCGATACAACTGCTTTCCTTAGTGTTATATTATGTACTTACTGTGGAAATATTACTTCAAAATGACACTTTTAGAAGTAACTGTGATGCACTGTAAGACATTTCTGGCTTAAGAGGTTAATGATAAATGTGTTTCTAAATGAAAAGAAAAAGATAATAAATGTGAACATAGACAAAACAAAGTGTCCCAGAATTCCTGTGCAGTGTCATTCAGGTAGACTAAGAACAGCTACAGCTGTTGCCTCCCCTTGCCTCCATAATTGTCTATGTGGTATATAACTGCTGAGAAATTGTCGTTTCCATATAGAATAATGTATGGAGATTTCCATTACTGTGTTTCCTTTAGATTTGAGTCATTTCTAGAGCTTCTATGTGGTAACTTTCTTCTCTGACGATTTAGAATTTCTTTTCCAGTACGTCATCAAGAAGTTAAACCTTAAGCATGCTTCCAGCCGAGAGAGGAAGGCAGCGGAGCAAGAGGCACAGCTGCTCTCCCAGCTGAAGCACCCCAACATAGTGGCATACCGGGAATCCTGGCAGGGGGAGGATGGGCTGCTGTATATCGTTATGGGCTTCTGCGAAGGAGGAGACCTCTATCACAGACTCAAGGAGCAAAAGGGCAAACTTCTGCCAGAAAATCAGGTGGTAGAATGGTTTGTCCAGATTGCCATGGCATTGCAGGTAAAAGAAAATGTAACTTGGTCATTTTAAAATAGAAATCCAGTTTGTATCTTTCTGCCTTTAGAATTCCAGAGTCAGGCTACAGATTTTGAAATCCACTTTGGCTGGGTTGACAGCTGAGTACAATGGTTGCCAGTTCCATTAATGACCTGTTTGCAGGTCACTGCAGTCAAACTAACTTACTGTTTTACACAGGATTTTGCTATCGCTTGGTATATCTACATCTCTGTCACAGCAGACAGAGGTAACTTCCAAGGTGTTTGTAGTCTGAAACGCTTCTGTGGTTTTTGGATCAGACTTAAAGAGTGTAGCTGTTGTTCTGTTTTCTTTAAAAGAAAAGGCTTCTTTCAGAAGCATTTTGTTTTCTGTGGTTTGCTGTTTTTTAAATGGTAAGTTTAAACTGCTAATTCATCATTTTCTTAAATATAATCTGACTCCGCTGGCATCGGAGATTATCAAACTTCAAAACTGTTACTGTGGTCATAAAGACAAGACGGAAATATTCACACTGAGAAAGAAGAATTTTCTGTCCTGCTCCTTAAAAGTTGGTTCCTGTGGCCAGATATACAGGAGTACATGTGTATGCACAGCCATGTCTACTCTTGCTAATTGGAAGCCTCCTCTTTTTCCCATTCTTTAGACAAAGCTCATATGACATTTTCCACCAAAAGTTTTAACTAAAGACTAAGATCTGGCTGCCAGGAAATGGAGCCATCAGAAGTGAGTTAGTCTGAGCACAGTCCTGCTTTTTTATTTCTTCTTTTCTGCTGGCTTGTTAAACCCTGTGGGAGATGTCAATAAAGCAGCACCAAGTTTTGGCTCTGTGCCTGTATTATGATGTTAATGTACCAATGCTGCCTTCAGCAGCGATAAATCATTTTTATTAGACAGTGATATCTCTGTCTTTGCTGTGTTTGCGTTTCCCTCCTTTGTGTTGCCTGATTTTGCTTCTCATGGAGAACCAGTTGTGTTACTTAACTCAGTCTATATGGTTTTTTTTCTCTTCCCCTCCCAGTATTTACACGAAAAACACATTCTTCACAGAGATCTTAAAACTCAAAATGTTTTTCTGACAAGAACAAATATAATCAAAGTGGGTGACCTGGGAATAGCCAGAGTGTTGGAAAACCAGTGTGACATGGCCAGCACTCTCATAGGCACACCGTACTACATGAGCCCTGAGCTCTTCTCTAACAAGCCCTACAACTACAAGGTACAGTAAGTTGATGCAAATGTCGTTTCTGCTTTGCTAAGCAACTTGTTTTGTTTGCCTGAGAACATTACAATCATATGCACTACTTTTAATTCATTGCTTTTTAATGTCACAAAAGGTAAAAGGAAAAATGAGATATTGGGCAGCACCTTTATGGAGCTGTTTGCTGCAGTGAGTGAGAATTAACAGCACGTGATAAGTTATCATAAATCAGATGTTTATCAGGCTGCCTGTACCAATAGTAGCATGCCAAAATAAAGATTTTAGTCTGGGTTATGTAGATGTGTTTTCTAAAAGTATTATGTATGAGACAGGATGCTTTATACTAAACTGTAACATTTAAAAAAAAAATAGAGGAACGTGCAGCATCTCTGAATTTGAACTGAAGTAAGATGGTTGTGCTCTGATGTTCCACACGTTGAAAACCATGGGGAGCATCAGTTTGGGTGTCTGTGAGCAACAACTAAGGGAAACTGTTCTTAGGAAAAACAAGATTTTCTTTCTCTGGTTAGAGCCAATGTTGTAATTAAAAAGAAAAACAACCACCCTACAAACTGCAACTTTTACAGTTATTTTCAGAATCCACTTGGTTAAAGTTGGGAGGAAATAAGGAAATAATCGTCGTAGAAATCATCACAAAGAGTGAGACTGAGGCCGAAAGTTTGCAGCGCATTTTGATCTTAAATCATTTATTGTGATGAAAAGCCTCTTGGAAAGCATGTGGCTAAGCCTGGAGATAAAATTTCTACCTTTAATGCAAAGCTCTTCAAACTTTTTCTTTCCCTTTTTCAGTCTGATGTTTGGGCTTTAGGCTGCTGCGTTTATGAGATGGCCACACTGAAACATGCATTTAATGCTAAAGACATGAACTCTTTGGTTTATCGAATTATTGAAGGAAAGGTAAAAATATTTTTATCAGTTCTTGGGGTTTTTTTGATAACTTGAGGTAACCGTTGCAATCAGAAGCTGTGCAGGGATTTGCAGGTATTTGGATGTTACATGCGTCGTCATGGCCGTTTGTAAGGTTGGTGTTTCCTGGTAATCTCTGATAGAGCAGCACACCCAGGAAGTTTGTTTTTAGATATTGCTTGGGGTTTCTTATTTCCTTTCTGTACTGTGCTGTATAGATTAATCCTCAAGGTTTTGAGTAGCGTTTTTCATTTGCTTCTGGCTGACATGTTGTGCAAGAATTCCATCACTATCAGTCTTTTTCCTGTTCTAACTTCAGTGTCTTATTTCCATGGCTGTATGACGAGGTTAAAACAGATTAATTATATATAAATCTCTTGCACCTATTCACAGAATTTCAACTTCAGTGTTAATTAAAAGCAATAACAAAAATTGACAGGCAAAGCACAGCTATGGGGAAATGTATCGTGTGAATAGTTGGGCTGTTTTTTATACAGAGTACTTAGCTTGAATTTGGCTGTTATGTATCAGTGATTTTGCAGCATGCTTTGACAATGTTAAATAATATCAGACTTCCACTCCTGTTACAGCTGCCACCCATGCCAAAGGATTACAGCCCACAGCTGGTAGAAATAATACAAACTATGCTCAGTAAAAAGCCTGAGCAGAGGCCTACTGTGAGAAGCATCCTGAGACAGCCGTATATCAAGCACCAAATTTCGTTGTTTTTGGAAGCCACAAAGATGTAAGATGTTTTCACTTGAGTGACTGTATGCAAGACTTTCTTGCTGCTTTCATCTTTGCTTTATAGCTTTTCCTATTTTGGTTTTGTAGCAGGATAACATTAGTTCTCTGTGTGCCATTGTAAAGCCTGCAAACATATTAGTTGGCTTAGAGTCCTTGAGAAATAGGAGAGCTAGAATGAAAACCAGTTGAGTTTGCTTGTTTGTTTTTGTTTTTTTGCAAAGGCAAATTAAATTATGCAGCAGTTAGAACTGATCAGCTTATTCAGAGGAAAGAAACGAGAAACTCCAGTATTTTCAAGGAAACACTGGGTGCTGCAGGTTATGCTGTATGGTTCATTGAGGCCATTTACCAGCTGGGAATTGTATTTGCAATTTCCTTTTGGTGTTCACTGATACCATTGTTTTTCTTTGGTAAGTTTGGTCAGTTACTTTCCTGCTCCCAGATAAGAGTGGTTTTGGTGCTGTGCTGAACAAATGTACTTTGCTGTCAGAGTCTAAATGGTGTTTCTAAGCTCTTTTTATAGAGAGAAAAATGAGAATGTTAAATACAGCCTGTTGAAAAAGCCCCCTGTTGTGTGTTCTCTGTTACCTGTGTACTGGATTGTTTTTTAATTCATGGAATCTAAAGAAGTATCTTAAGGTCTTGTGGCCAATGAGTGAGCAACTTTCTTTTTTTTTCTAACAGGAAAGCAGCCAAAAGTCCTAAGAAAATGGCAGATTCTAAACTTAAAGATGCTTCTTCTGTGGTCCCAGTGAAGAATGAATGTCATAACAAGGACATTGCACCCCCAAGCAGTTCCTCTGAGCGAGGCAGCAAATGCAGAGTTGTAAGATGCATCTTTCTTCCTCTCCTGCACACTGAAAATCAGCTTGCTTTTCTCCTAGGAAAAATATTATATTTTTCATGACATGCCATGAGCACTGGTGAGAATGTAGATTCCTAGTGGTGTGTACAACTTACGTTGATGAAGGAATGGTGTTCAGGTTAATAACAGAAGTAATTAAAAAGCTGTGGGTCAGTAAAACTAATTGTAGTGCCTTAACTTTAAGATGGTAACTGCATAACATCTGATTTTCTACCTGTGGGCCACTGTATGAACTACTTCTATGTAAACGTGCAATTGAATTTGCAGACTTACCTTTAGTGTGAAGCACAGTTATATACCAGTATTTCCACTCTGCTCATGGAGTATTTGAGGTAAAATATTTTTCAAATATTTGATGACAAGTGGTAATCGTTTTCAGTGACATGATTCTGATTGGCAAAATTAATTATTGCTCTACCACGGAACTGTTTGTTGTTCTCATTGTTTCCAGTGGTTAAAATGAGTCATAAAGAGATTAATGTTGTATGTGGTTATGTGGTCAGTTGGTTTTTTTGTTTGTTTGTACTCTGAAATTAGTCTGCTGTCGTGGGTTTAGGCTTTAGAGCTGAAATGCTAAATGTATGTGGTGGAGCAGCTCTTGGAGAGTTGCTGGCACTCATTGGCTTCTCCCTCATGGAAGAGCCAAGGGTTTACAGCTTTTCTTTTGTGGCACCAGTGAAAGTGGGTGAGCAGTATATGTATGCACCCTGCCTGAAATGTAATCTGCACATACAGCCTGCATCTCTTAAAATGTGGATTGTGGCACTTTTGAAGCTCTCAATCTGCTAGCATAATTTAGTTACACTTTATGAGCTCTGGTATGTTAACAGTGTTCCTCAGGTGCTTGGGATGTTCTTTCATAAGTGTGTAATACCAAGAAGCAACTCTCTTGTTTTGTTTTTATTCTAGAATGAGGAAGATTGTGCCGTCAAATACAAAGCCAGCAAGTTTTGTCCATCAGAGAAACCAGCTGTTGAGCTGAGTACAAAACCACGCAGTAATGATTTGGACAACCTGGGAGGCTCCTTGGCTACGATTAGTGGAGTGAACATTGATATCTTACCATATGAAAAGAGAAACTGTGGAAGTGAGAAGAGTGAGCATATGCCAGAGGGTCATAAAGCAAAGAGTGTGAATGCTTCAGGGAATTCTGAAATAATATCCAGTAATCCTCCAATGAAAACTGATGGACTACAGAAAAAGACAAAGCAAGCTTCTAAAGGGAGAAGTGTTGATTCTAAGCACTCTTCTGTTGATGCTGTGGAAGATGATGATGACACTTTGAAACTCCTGCAGCCTGCATTGAAAGACCAAAAGCAAACTGACGTGGTAATGCATTTATGCTGATGTGGACTTTGAAATGGGTGTAACTAATAGACACCTCTTAAAGCTCAGAGAGCTGCTGCTCGTATTGGGTTTGCTACCCAAGCAGGATTCTGCTGATGGCATTATTGGTGTGCTCTAAATAGCTGGGAGCCTTGGCTTCAGATTTGCAGATGCTGTGTGGTGGGGGAGTTTCAGATGATGGTAATTCTGCTTCTGAAGGGAACTCGAATCTCCGAGCCAAGAAGAGAGATGGCAAGAATGGTTTTAGGACTTCTTTGTTGTGAATAGGCCTGGCTGATTTCTTGGGTTGGTCCTGGTGTGGGTAGATGACAAACGGCAAATGGAGGAGACAGCCAGTCGAGTGGGTCTCAGAGAGGCTTTTCTCTTCCATTCTTGACTATTTAGTGCACTCAACTAAATGATCTGAATAGATAAATGGTAGGCTTGGGGCCAGGGTACTGGATTTGTCAGAGAGTGGAGGATAGATTAAACAGTGCTTGGGATTGATGCCTGATTTATACACCACGTGCACTCTCCCTGTCTCCTTTTTGCTTCTTTATAGTCTGACACTCAATGGAATGTTGAAGTTTCAAAAGAAAAAAGTGAGGGTGAGGAGCAGGAGTGATTTAAGGCAGGCAGGTGATGAAGTGGTGGAAAGAGGTGTAAAAGAAGGGAGAATTGAATAGTGATGTGGAAGTCTGAAGCATTTAGCTGTCTTGCTTTCCTTTCTTCTGAAGGCAGATTGTCTCTTGCTGTCCTTAATTTCATTTATTCTTTCACTGCTTGTGTTGGTGATCTGGAAAATCAGTAGTCTAAGGAAATGTCAGCTTCTCCCTGGGCTTCTGTAGTGCTGCCATTTAGATGGTAACTGACACAAATGCTGCCTAATTCTTTTCCCCATGTGCATTTCCCAGTGTTAAACAGGTTTGTTATGGCAACTGCAAAAATACTATTCTTATTTCATCCTGTTGAATCTCTAAGTGTCAGATATAAACATGGCTCTTCCCCTCACATTGCTGCTTGGATTTTAGTCTTACGTCTGTTCCCTGGCTGCACAGCTGTCACTTCTGCACAATCGCTTGAAGCCATTTTACTTTAGGTGCTGATTGCCTTGTAATTCTTTTTTTCTACAAGAAGATTTTCATGCACTTTTAAAATGAGAAATCATCTATTGCAGAGTTTGGATTCTACTGAAAATCTGCTGGAACCATTTGTTCCTGTTGCAATTCAAGTGTCTTTGGAGTGCTTCATTCTTGAGATGTGGTGGTGCAGCAGATACTGTTTTCGGGCTGTCACCAGCTTATTGTGTTTGCAATGTCATGTGCTAAGTTGGATGTAGGCCAAACAGTCGAGTAGCCTGTGCTGATTTTCTTATTTTTTAAGTGCCTACAAACTGAAAAAGTACTTTTCTTTATTAGGATGTTGTCTATCGTGGAGCTTCAGGAGATGCTCAGGAAAAAGTTCTCTCTCAATTACAGCCTCATGGTTCTACTCATGAGCCCTCTGTCTCACGGCAGCAATGGCAGAAGAAAAGAGAGCTGGCTGAAGTCTGTTCAGAGAAGGTACAGGGCTCCTTTCACTGCTTCCATAATGGGCTGAGTGGCTTTTTGGGGAAAGACACCTCCTTTGTTGTTCAGAATCATACCTTATGCTGTTCTCTTCAGTTTGGGTATTTGAGGCTGGGATCAGCAAAATCACTGGGTGAAAAGTAGTCTGGAAAGAGGGGGATGAGGTTTAGGGATGGAGAGAGGGGAAGTGGACGCAAGCAGGAGTGCAGAGTGGGAGATGACACGTAGAATGCAAACCTCTCATCCAGCTTTACCATGCAAGAGTGCCTTCAGATTGCAGAGAACTTAATGTAAATACGTAGTTTCTTACTCATTTCTCTCTCAAGTTCGGAGCAGTTTCTCCTCGGCCTTTACCTTTTGCTACTGATGTGAGTGTGAAGGCAGCACAAAGCTGTGCAGAGGAGCGTGTTGCCAACATCTCTGCACCTGCCAGCAGCGCCAAAACCAGTCAAGATGCCATTGCAAAGGTTGGTTCCAAATGCTGTTGGTTCCAAACACGGTGTCACTCTGTTTTTGTCTCTCTTCTGAGCAGGCTGTTCCTGGAGCACGTGTACAGACAGTGCAGAAATGCAGAGTAGCTTCCTGTGTGGAAGTTCAGTCAGCCATCTGGCTGGTGTTGGAAGAGATGCTTCTGTGCTGAGCCAGTCTCAGGCTTCTTTTTTAAAGTGTGTGTTAGTCGTGGTTCCCAAAACCGTTTTGTAATAAATAATACAGCGTTTAGAATTAGAAAGCAGCTTTCTCTTTGTCGTATGAAAGAACGTGTTTTGTTTTGTAGATAGCGAAGGTCGTTGTGACAATTGCTAATGAATACCGTACTGATTTATCTTAAAGGGGCGGCCTTTGTCAGCCAGAGAGCGGAGGCGGCTGAAGCAGTCTCGGGAGGAGACGTTTCCCTCTGGTAATTGTTTGCACGTGAGCTCTAGAAATGGGCTGCTGCCAGAATGAATTCGAACTCGCTGTCTGTTCTTCAGTGACATCCTGAGAAAGATGCACTAAAGCTGCAGTTCTGACAAACGTTTCTGTATTCTTCTAATTCTTAATTATGTTCAGTCGCATTCAGGGGTGACGGCTTGTATTTGAAATGTGTGTGAGGCTCAGGATGTACACTTTTCAATGGAAACTGCAGTGCTTTTTGTTAGCAGAATGCCTGCCTATCCAAACCTTTTCTTGCATGAGCATGAAATTAATTCAAAATACATACAGCTGAGTTGTAAATATTGCCAAAATGTCATCCTTCCAGTGATCCCAGCAAGACGAACAGGAAGTAGTGCAGTAGTTGAAGGAAAATCTCATATGGAAAATCGTGTTAAAGTTGCTCAGTCTTCATCAGATCCCAGTGCTTCTCAGGTAAACTGAGGTCGTCACGCTTTTGATGTATTTCAGTGGAGGCACCGTTTGGGAACCTAGCTGTATTTAAAGAAAACAAACCTCTGTGTGGAAGAAACTCAGTGAGAATGCTCAGTTATCTGCATGTGTTGTAAGTCCTGAGGGAAAGTACAGCTCTGTGATCTGCCTGTTTGTTCGGCTAGATCAGCTTAACACTTCTACACATTTTCTGCACCTGTCAGAGGTAAAGCCTAAGAGGTCCCCCAGCAGCACTGACGTGTGATTTCACTGCTAGTTGGGTTTTTTGGTTTGTGGATAAGAACATATCTATCATGAGCTCTGTTTTGGTGGTGGGTGAATCGCCTGCTGGAGTTCAGCCTTCACACCTTACCTCTAGCCTTGTACTCACTGTGCTTTGTTAGTAGTGTTTCTATACTGTATTTGAGTATGTTTATGTGCTCACAATAAGAAATAGCTTCCAGAAGAAAACTAAATAGTTTCTGGTGGTATTCTTTTAGTTGCCTAATTAAAAAAAAAAAAAATAGGCTAAGGTCATGAACATACATTGGGAAAATCTTCTGCAAATCCATGGGACGTTATTAACATCAGGAAAACAAAGGAAGAAACTTGAAAAGCCAAAGCATAGGCTTTGTTTTCCTCAGTCCTGCGCTTGCAAGGAATGTATTTTGCATGGTTTGCCTGCTTGTGTATGCTTGTAACTGTTATTTAGTGGATTTAGTAATGTTTGGTAATGCTGTGTGCACTGCTGGTAGTGGTGCTGTGTGCTGTGCACTGAGCACAAGATCCTGGGGACACGTGGCACAGAGTCCTTGTGTATTTCAAGGGGTGCTGAAACCTTAACTAATAAAGGAAATCAATACGATTTGAAGATGTGTGTGTTAAAGATCAGCAGACGAGCTAAGGATAATCATGCATAGTGTAGCTAGCTGGAAATCGTGCACGATGTAATTGCTTTAAAATGAGGCACTTGGTAAAGCATTGGTGGTTGTTGAAACTGAGCCATGGTGTGGTGCTCGTCAGACAAGCAGGAAGCACATTCTGATGTGTATTAGCTTGTTTAAAAATGAAGTTGAAACTCTTTGAATATATCAGTATGCAACAACTGTTCCAGTTGAATGGGGCTCCTTTTTGTGTAGAGCAACTAGTTAGTGCCATAGTGATAAATTAATTCTGAAAATCAGGGTTTTCCTCTGTTGTTTCCTCTTCCTGTAGAAAAGCAGAGAAACCCACTGCCTGTCTGATGATGAGCTGAGCTCTTCCACAAGCTCTACAGATAAGTCTGATGGAGATTGCAAGGAGAAGTAAGTATTTTGTGTACAGTGTGGGAGAGTATTAAACCCTGACTTGGAGTGGGGAGAAAAATTCCAGGCATTGCTTTCCCAGTTTCCCTTTACACAGTGATTGAAGAATCTCATGATACATAGCATTTAATCGTTGTCCCTCTCTGATGATAAACTTTTTGTGCTGTACTTCTTAGGACATGGAATTGTGTAGCTGTATTTTAGCAAATGAAGCTCCCCAGTAAACCAGTGTTGCAGCATCAGAGGATAAAGACCGCCCAGGGTGCTTTGAAAGCATGAGTGCAGAGCTGTCCGTGTGTTTTCTTTCAGCTCTGAAGGGGGCTGAAATAATTTGTTTCACATTTTGTCAGTGTTAGCAACTTCTTCAAGAGATGCTGTTTGTTGCGTCGCTGCAGGTGCAGCTGCACAGGTAGCAGCAGCTGATAGGACTGAGGGTTTTGTCCAGCTGGATGCATTTGGTGCTGTTGTTAGATGGAATACTGCTAATGCTGCTGCAAGATGTGAATTTAACCTGGGGTGCTTAGCAGGACCTCGCCCTATTTATTGAAAGTCCTCTGAAGGCAGAGGGGAAATTGCATCACAAATGGTAACTGAATTACATCATGTTTCTCCTCTCCTAGAAAAAGCAGTGTGAATGAAGTGAATGAGCTGATGCAGCTGATGATTTGCACACTGAGAGTGGACCCCAAGGAGAGCTCTGAGTGCTCTGTAACCTCAACTCCAGCCCCGGAGTTTAAACTGCATAGGAAATACCGAGACACTTTGAGTTTGCATGGAAAATCATCAGAGCCATCAGAGGACTTCGAATTTGAAGAGATTCCTTCAGGTCTGTTGCTGTGTTACTATCTTAAATGATTGGTTATCAGCTGCTAATTACCAAAGAAAACCTCCTAGTGGGCGGCAGAAAGCAGTCAGTCACTCTTGCTTCTTCCAGATGCTTTCCAAAGCATTCTTCCAGCTTTCCAAATAATGCTGGGTACAGAACTGTTCTAGCTGTGATATACATGCCAGTGAAGGCAGTAGGGTCAGTCAATTATGTGCAATTATTAATGAAGAAAGCTGATCTGTGCTGGGACTTGTATTTAGAAGTTTCCAGAATGAACAGTTCACAGTTGGAGTTGAGCATTGTAAAAGCACTTGTTGTGAATTGTGGACAAAGCTGGAATTGCACAACTCAGCATTAAAGACAGCGGAGGTTTTTATGAAGATAGAATCATAGAATCACAGAATGGCCTGAGTTGCAATGGAGCACAGTGCTCATCTCATTCCAACCCCTGCTGTGTGCAGGTCGCCAACCAGCAGCCCAGGCTGCCCAGAGCCACATCCAGCCTGGCCTTGGATGCCTGCAGGGATGGGGCATCCACAGGCTCATATAGAAGCTCATTTGCAAGAAATTATTCTTAAAACAGTTGAGTGGTTTTCTGTTGTTGTAGAGAATTGTTAGAATGAAAAATAGTATTTTGCAGAAGAACTGCCTGAAATGAAGTTAGAGGCCTAATTGTGTGAGCTGCCTGCAGTGATGTTGTGCTGTACGGAGCCTGAAGACTGAGCATTGGAATGGCTCTCACAGATCACTGTGGATGATCTCCTTCAGATAAAAGGTTATTTCATGCAAACTGACAACTGCAGTTCTGTGGCAATGTGTGGTTCTGTGTTCTTCTAGGTGTGTAGTATGAAAATTGAAAGTGACTGCAGTGATCTTATCCTTTTTTTTTTTTTTTCTTTTTTTCTTTTTTAATAGACATGTTATCAGGTCCTGAAAAGATGAGGAGAATGGTTGAGGTCCTGAGGTCTGATGTGGTGCGAGGACTGGGTGTGAAACTTCTTGAGAGGGTGTACAGCATTATGGAAGAAGAAGATGAAGTGAAGAGAGAGGTGAATGCCTTACAAGTCAGATTTTTAGAATTGTTTGATTTCTTACAAACCACTTCTTAGATATTGAGGTAACAGTGCAAACCTGAGTTCCAGAAAGTGTTGATGTGGTCAGTGGCAGGCAAGAGCCTGAGTGTGTGTTCAACATTACAAAAATTGGTTCTGAATGTAAATGGCATTCAGCTACATGTTCCTGAGGAACCAGAGGAGCTTTAGAACTGTCCCTGAGTTTGAGGAAGATGTGAGGGGTGTAAGTAATGGCTCTGTGCTGTTTCTCCATTAAGGGCTTCCTTTTGAACTACAACTTTGTGTCTTCATGTTCCTCTTGCTTCAAAGTGAGAAACAGTTTAATGCCTGTTCCTAATGGAGGTGAATGAGCAAAATGTTTGACTCCTCTGATTAAAAGCTTTACTACAAAAAAAATACCTCATGAGCAGGCATTGCCAGCGAGTATTTAAAACTGCCAGGGGGGATTTGGAGCATCTCTTGCTTTCACGGTAAAATGGACTTTTCCCATTTCCCCCCTTCCACCTGTGTAATAAAACTTCACCTGCTGCTTTCAGCTGAGTGCTTTGGTTTACATCCTGATTCCTTTTGCTGATGTTTCAGTTGCTGTTGCTTTTTTCAGTAAGTTTGCTGGTATTTTCTTTTTTTCTTCCTTGTGCTCTAAACAGCTGCAGTTGTGGGAGCACATGGGAGCCAAGTATGTGAGCTACAGTGCGAAGGCACGCCACCTGAAGTTCCTTGAAGAAAATGGGGAGTTCTGAGCAGAGCCTTTTCCGGAGCAAAGAGGACAGAGCTGTCCATCTTGTCTGATGCATTGGATCAGCTTGAAGAGCGTGTTTTTCCACTGACCTCCTTGGCTGCACAAACGTGCAAAAAAACATTATACTTTGTAGCAATATTTTTCATGTTAAAATGCTTTCTCGGAAGAGAAACTTTGTTTAGTTTTTATTCTCTTAATTAAACTTCATTTTTTCTATAGGGCTGCAACACTAAGCTTTGTATAAAAGGAATGTCCAAAAAAAAAAAAAGTGTGTGAATTTATCATAGCAAAAGGTTGGGCTAAAGTGATGTGTATATATAGATAGTGATATATATAGAGAGAGAGGGAGAGGGAGGTGGAGGTGATGGTGGAGGTGATGGTGGTGGTGATACCAGAATCCATGCTGAGGCCACGGTGTGAGAGACCAAACCTTATCCCAAGTATTTGTATAGAGCTATGGGGGAGGAGCAGCTCTCACTTGTGGTGTGGGGGACAGACAGAAAGAGCAGGGAAAGCACAGTTCACCCATGCACAGACAGCTTATTTCAAAGGCAAAAACACAAAACCCAGGCAGCCTGCATCGCATCAGGTTTGAAGGAAAAACGGTTGGAGGCAAGAATACCTCCTGGTATTCCTGGTAAGAATGCTTCCTGGAGGGAAGGAAGGGTGTGGATGGACAAAAGTCTGCTTGAAGCTGCAAATGAAACCCTTCCTTGCCTGCTCCACCCCCCAGGTGCCTCTCTACAACAGGTCTGAGGCCTGCATGGGGAAGGTGCAGCTGTGGGTGGGAGCAGCGAAGGGGCTGAAGCACTGGACCAGCGTGCCCAGAGATGTGGTAGTTGCTCCATCCCTGATTTTTAAGGCCAGGCTCCATCAGGCTGTGGGCAACCTGACCTACCTGTGCATGTCCCTGTTCACTGCAGAGAAGTTGGACTAGATGGCCTTTAAAGGTCCCTTCCAACTAAGGATTCTGTGATCTTGTGAATTATTGGACATGAGCCCTGAGTACAACACCACTGGCAAAGCCATTCATTCAGCATGTCCACCCTACTCCTTTTCTGTGGATCCCAGTCACCAACAGAGAGGACAGAGGTGAACACGATTTGCACTCCCGATCCTTCAGGAGTCTTCCCAGAGCCCTGAAGACCCTTTTGATTGCCTGAGGCCTTCTTTTGCCTACCTCTTCATTTCCAGTGTGGAAAACCAGTAACAGATAATTATCAGAGGGCTTGACCAGGCAAGTGATGCTCCTGGCAACACCTCACCCCGGCACCAGGCGGGCAGCACAGCTCCCTGCAGGACGGATCCGAGCAGCATATCGGGCCCTCGGCTCCCCTCAGAAGGGAGTCCCCGTAGCAAAACGAGGAGTGGGCTGACCACCTTGGGCAACCTCTGCTGCATGGCCGGACTTTCACCGCCATCCACATCCCCCAGTCCCTCCAGCTCCAGGTCCTCACAGCCGTTCTGTAAGGGCACCTGGGAAGGTGGGACAGGCGGAGGGGCAGTCAGCTTGCTGCCCCGAACAGGGACTTGTTTGCATCTCTCTCTGCCTCTCAGGTCTCCCCTTCCTGCCTGACTGTGAGACAGCAGAGCATCTCCCAGCACCGCCCCTGTAGGGATGGCAGAGTGCGACTCCGCCATTCGATCCCATCCGCACAGTCCCGGACGTCCCTCAGCCTTTCTGCTTCTCCCTTCAGCTCTCCCACCGCGCTGAGCAGATCGCCCAGCTGCTCGCACCCCACACAGCCGGGATCCCCGCTGCAGCACTGACGCGGCCGGGCATCCTCCGCAGCTCGAGACCTGAACTGCAGCATCTGCGGCACGGGCGTTCGTGCTTTCTGAGTCTCCACGCTCTTCTAGCAGCAGCTCGCCGCCGTGCGGTGACCACGGCTGCACCTCGGTGCGTCCAGAGAGCAGCGACCCGTCCACACATCCGCTGACTGCTGAGCGCCCATCCTGCTGGGCGGCAACGCGCCCTGGCAACGCCCACTTCATGCCAGCCGCTCTCGCGAGAGCTGCCGGGCTGCCCTGTTATATCGCGGTTCCCTTCATAGAGGAACCGGCAGAAACCCCCCCGTATGTCGCCATTAGTCGCCTAAGCAGCGAACCTCAGCGATCGAGGTTGTAGTGCGGTTCTTCTTGGGTTGCTCAGTGAAGGCTCATTCAACGCGCTTGCCGGGCTCCCACACGAGGCCCGGTTCCTGGCAGCCCTGTGTAGGCAGAGATGCCTCCAGCTGTGCGTGCATCTTACAGCCATCTTTGAGACAAAAGCGTTCATACCTTCCTATGGCGTCTCACAGGACGCTGCTTTCTCCCCCCACGTGAATCTGCTGCTAACAAAGCTGTCAGTGCCATCTCATACCCTCCATCAGTTACAAGCCCTTATGACTTCCCAAAACCGAGCATTATGTACGGTCTCACACGACCTGGTTCAACCTGGCACTGCTGACAGCTTGTTTTTCACGTGGTTAGAAATACTTTCAAAGAAGCATAGTTGTATTTTGCCTCCTCAGTCATGGCAATAGCCAAACTACGCTCGATTGGAGTGTGGGCAGTGTTTTCGTTTTTGCTAAAACACTTCGAGGAGAATGTGAACTCAGCCTGAAATTCAGCACCCCCGCACCGTTTTCCCTGACTTCCCTTAAACTGCAGCCAAAGCAGAGAGGGCCTTCGTGCTCTGTGCAGCTCTTAATGAACTCATGACAGCGTGCAAACCAATAAGGGGGAGAAACTACAATACTGAGACAAGAAGCATCTCCCGGGAAAATATATTAAAGCTTAAAAAAGTTAATTGCCACAGCATACCATAACAAAGAACCGTTTTATTTAGCTTTTAGAATGCCTTTTTGGTTTTCTGTCTGCTGGCTTCTTATCCTCTGTGCCCGACTCCTGCACAGGCAGCCATTTCAGGGGGTTGCGGCGGTACATGGGCCACGGGGGGAGCGTCAGCTTAGAGAACAGGAACAAAACAAAACACGTAAAGCACGGAGTTAAAGAAGTGCGCAGCTTCTGAGACCTGAACTGCAGCACGGACATTCGTGCTTTCCATCTGGGCCTCCACATTCCTTTTAGCAGCAGCTCGCCGTTTCTCTGAGTACCCAGAGAAACACACAGCCGTTTCTATTACCAACAGACTCAGATGAACTTTAACATCTAATTGAAATGGAAAATCAATTCAGTGTAGGCAGCAGCATGAAATTGCAGCATTCTGTAAAATCTTAACGTGTTGTCATGTAAGTTTAAGTACAGAACTGCTTGCTCTGCAGCTCAAAGAAAGCAGAGATGTGCACTGCTACCTGAATTAAACGGCAAACATTTGTGCTTGCAGCCCCGTCATTCAACTGCTGCTTCAGGTTAAATAGTGGATATAGTTTCCGGTTGGGGCACAAGAAAACCCCCTTACCAAGCAGGATAATGCAAATCCGGCCATAACTATGTAGACAGTCCATCCAAACTGCTCAGTGACATATCCAAAGATGAAACCAATTACCTACAACAAACCAACAAACACACACACACGTTTTTGATACATTTCAAGCACACAGAAAGGCTGCTGAAGCCACGCTTGGCTGGGGGTGTGGAGGAGAGTTAAGAACAAATGATGGCGTGGGTTTTTCTGTTTGAAAGCACACTTGGTGCGCCTTTCTAACCTCGTCTGCAAAACTGAAGGCCAATTTCAAAACTAAAGATACGGAATACGGAACTAAAGCGTTAATGCCAAGCCAGGCCCAGCAACGAGGAGAAGATCAGAGATCCTAAATTCGGAGAACAAACCCAAGGAGCCCCTCGTTATCACCGCGTGTACTTACGGCAGAGACAAGAATGATGCCCTGGAAAATCTGTTCCGCTAATTTCTGGCCCTTGTAGTCCTGTGGAAACAAAGCTTTCGCTCAGCGGATGCACCCCGCCGGGCAGCCGCCGCGGGGTCGTCCCGCCCGTACCATCTGTGTGGGGATGGAGCGGAACACGTCCAGCATGGTGGCGGGGCACGGCTCCTCGTCCTCCTCACTGGCCTTGGCCTGCTCCCGCTGCTCCCGCTCCTCGTCCTCCTCACTGGCCTCGGCCTGCTCCTGCTCCTGCTCCTTCTCCTGCTCCTCGGCGTCGCCGGCGACGTCCTCCTCGCTCTCGCTCTCCCCCTCCCCCCGCACACCAGGCTCCTCCCCGCTGATGGCAGCACACGCCACATCCTTGCCGCGCAGGCGCAGTTGCACCGGAAGGTGCCTCCGCACGCAGCCGGAAGTGTCCGCCCCGCGCCCCGTCTCTGGCTGCCGCTGTGCTCCGCCATCCCCCCGGAGCTCCGAAGCGTTTCCCGCGCTCTCGGCCAACTCCCCACCGTCGTCTGCGGCCCGCTCCCCGGCCTCGCCCTGGTCTCCGCCGTCGGCTGCAGCCAGCTCTCCGGAGCCGCCCCGCTCCTCCATAGGTGCCGGCGAGGTGGTGGACGCCGTCTCCACGGCAACGGCGGTGTTGGCTGCAGGACCCCGCGGCGAGGACCCTTCGGGCGGCGGGCGCGGAGTGTCCGTCGCTGCGCCCGTTCGGACGCGGTGCCCATTGCCGGCCTGCGGGCGGCTCCCGCCCCTTCTCAGTCCGCGCTCCCTCCCGGTCGAGTCCCCGCGGCCGCCGCCGGAGCACCGGGGGCCGGGCGCTGCGCGGTTCGGCAGCCCGTGGCCGGTAGGCGGCGCGGCGGGCAGCCCGGTGCCGCGGTGGCAGTTGGCGGAGGCGCGGGCCGGGCAGCGGAGTGGAGCCGGGCGTCCGCGGTTCCTCGGCCCGGCGCCCGCCAGCTTTGCGCGGCGGTTTCTCGGAGCCGTTCGGGGCCGTTTGTGGCGGGACGCGGAGCGGCGGAGCACGATGAGCCTGAGGAAAGGTGAGCTGTGCGCGCCCGGCTGCCGCTTCGGGTCCGCTTCGCGCTTTGCCGACTCCTCCGGCCTCTCTCCACCCGATCCCGTCGTCTTTGTGCTTTGAATCCTCAGTGAACGTCTCCATTCTCGTGGCGGCCATCGTTCTCTTCCTGCTCGTTCTGCACCACAACTTCCTGGGCCTCAGCGACCTCCTGAAGCGCGAGCTGACAGGTGTGTGTGCGCCCCGTGCCCGGGGCTGTGCGATGATGCAGCTCTGCTCTCCTAACGGGGCTCCGTCCCTGTGCCTCTGCCCCCTGTTGCTGCTCTCTGCCCTTCCCAGCACCACAGAGCCTCTCCACGTCCCTGTGAACCCCCGATTCCCC